GTTTCGTCGCTAAAGAACTTAGTCATTGAGCTTTGTAGTAAATAATATACAGGGGAAGACAGTATGTAAACGACTTAAAGCAGGGTATATCTGTTCCCATTTGCATGTTTCCATCGGGAGGAGCATAGAAAGAGGACAATGTCCTTCAGTTTGTTAAACCACCTTGAGATATACCAGGCAGTGACAGATATTAAAGTCAGACGCTAGCCAGTACTCCTTGGGAATTGGGTTCCAGACACGTCCATGGTATTAGCTGTGGATAACATGTCATGCATCTGATGAGGGTTTCTCCACCACCAAAGCTTATGCTGCAACTCATTTGGTGGTCTTTCGGACACCATGGCATTTTTGTTCCCTTTTTTTGTATAGAATTGTGATTGTCTTGTACACTATGGGCAATACAGCAGGCCTACCAAGTTCAGTAAGTAGTGATCATAGGGAAGTCAGTTTGCTCAAGCCTTTGCAGATTAGAATCGATTCACATCACATATATGTTTGCCAAGCATAGAATCATAGAATCATAGAGTTGGAAGAGACCACAAGGGCCATCGAGTCCAACCCCCTGCCAAGCAGGCATAAATAGTTTTTTTCTAGCTAGAGCAGAAACAACTCTGCCCAGGTTAACAATCCATAAAATTTAGAGCCCTTCCTTTCTGTGTGTGTCATGAACTGAAAGAGCTGGGTGTGGGTATCTGCTGTCCAGAAATTCTTGTTTGTTTCTGGGATGGATTTGTTAGATTATACAAATAGACTGGATGGTCAGACGTGCTCAAAAATGCGAAGTGTTTTAACGATTAGAGCTGTAACGTGTTAAGGTGGTTGTTGTTGGGGGTTTTAAAAGTTGTAATGAATGGAGAATCTGCCCACCTAAATTCACGAGAGAGGTAGAGATATGCAAAATTAGCATTTCATCTAAAAATGAAACAAGTGTTCAAGAGGGTCTGAAACATAGTTGCATGCTTTTAAGGCAGAATGTTGAACCATTTGAGCTCATTTGATGAATGCTTTAGGGCAACATTTCCCAACTTGGTGCCCCCAGCTGTTTTCCCCACCCCAAAGTTAGAACTCCCCACCAGCCCCAGTTGTTGTTGTCAGTTGCCAAGGATTATTATGATGTATTTATTTATATCCCACCTTCTTCCGTGAAAGTGACTCAAGGCAGCTTACAAATAAAAATAAGAACAGCTAAAAGCATAGAGATTTTTTTAAAAAAATAAAATAAAATCAAAACTATATGTATACATATATATGCTTTCGTAGATTTTCACGGGTACAGGAATGCAGGTTTTGGTGTCCTCGGGTGTCTTCCCGTGTAAAAGTTGGGGTGTCTAGGCGACGTTTCGACGAGGTCTCACTCGTCATCTTCAGGCTGGTGCTTTCGGCTTCTTGTTACTGGAACAGAGCAGGATCTCAGTGTTTGAGTTCCTATAAATACTGTTGAGGGGGTGTGGTGTATAGCCTCCAATGTTCTGGGCAGAGAGGAAGTTCCCAGGCTAGTGTGCCTTTTCTTCTTTTGTTCCTTAATTACTTGAGGGATATCTTGAGTGATTTCTTGAGTGATATTCTGAGTACCACTTAGGTGGGTCATTAGGTGTGGATTAGTTGCTAAAGCCTTCGTGTCTTGACCTCTTGAACTTTGTGAAGAGTTTTTCTGAGAAGATGGTTGTACTGCACTTAGTTGTGCTCTGGCTTGGCTTCGTGTATAGGGGCGAGCTGTGGTTTTGTGCCCTGTGCCAGCCAGATCTGTGTAGGGATTGCAGGGGGGTGCAGCATCCGGAGGTGCCACCATGGTTTGGCTACTGGATGGTGTCTGTAATTTATCTGTGGAGAGGGTCTGGGTTTGGGTCTGGTGTGGTTGATTGGTGATGGCGTTCTGTGTGCCTCTGGATCTGGTGTCGGTTTTTGTGGGGAGGGCTAATTTCCAGATGTCTGGCAGGCGGGACGTGTCGTCACGCTTGTTCATGTTGTGAGGGTGTTTCTCTATCTCGATGGCTTCCATGATTATTCTCTTGTGGTGATGTTCCATGTTAAAGAGCAATTTGGAATCTGCAAAATTAATTTCGTGTCCTGTTTCTTTCATGTGTTGGAAAAGAGAGGAAGTTTTTTCTTCTTTTTTGACGGCATTCTTGTGTTCTGCGATACGTGCATTTATTCGTCTGTTTGTTTGTCCAATGTACGTGGCTGGGCAGACTTTGCAGGGTATTTCATAGACCCCTTGGTTTTCTAACTGGATTTTATCTTTGGGGTTTCTGAGGATATTGGCTATTTTTTGGTTGGTGCAAAAGGCTGTTTTGATATTGTGTTTATGGAGGATTTTGCTAATTTTATCTGTAGTGCCCTTGATATAAGGAAGGAGGGCCATGCCATTGTTTTCTTCTGTGTCTTGGTTTTTGGGGGGTGTTTCTTTTTGGATTAGCTTCGTGACCCTGTTTTGCTGGTATCCATTGGCGATTAACACATTTGAGAGATTCTGTAACTCAGTTGTCAAGTGGTCTTTGTCAGCCAGGCGTTTGGTTCTGGAGATGAGAGTCTTGGCTACGGAGTTTATTTGTGCAGGGTGGTGGTGTGATTGTGCATGTAAGTAGCGGTTGGTGTGTGTTTTTTTCCGGTAGATAGTGTGTCCTAGGGAGCCATCAGGTTTTTTGTAGATTAGGACGTCAAGGAAGGGAAGTTGGTTGTTGGCTTCTATTTCCATAGTGAATTGTATTTTGGGGTGTAGGCTGTTGAGATGTGTGAGGAAGCTATTTAGTTTTTCCTTCCCGTGTGGCCAAATTACAAAAACCGACACCAGATCCAGAGGCACACAGAACGCCATCACCAATCAACCACACCAGACCCAAACCCAGACCCTCTCCACAGATAAATTACAGACACCATCCAGTAGCCAAACCATGGTGGCACCTCCGGATGCTGCACCCCCCTGCAATCCCTACACAGATCTGGCTGGCACAGGGCACAAAACCACAGCTCGCCCCTATACACGAAGCCAAGCCAGAGCACAACTAAGTGCAGTACAACCATCTTCTCAGAAAAACTCTTCACAAAGTTCAAGAGGTCAAGACACGAAGGCTTTAGCAACTAATCCACACCTAATGACCCACCTAAGTGGTACTCAGAATATCACTCAAGAAATCACTCAAGATATCCCTCAAGTAATTAAGGAACAAAAGAAGAAAAGGCACACTAGCCTGGGAACTTCCTCTCTGCCCAGAACATTGGAGGCTATACACCACACCCCCTCAACAGTATTTATAGGAACTCAAACACTGAGATCCTGCTCTGTTCCAGTAACAAGAAGCCGAAAGCACCAGCCTGAAGATGACGAGTGAGACCTCGTCGAAACGTCGCCTAGACACCCCAACTTTTACACGGGAAGACACCCGAGGACACCAAAACCTGCATACATATATATATATATATATATATATATAAAAGCTATACAAATACAGTGGTACCTCGGGTTAAGTACTTAATTCGTTCCGGAAATCCATTCTTAACCTGAAACTGTTCTTAACCTGAAGCACCACTTTAGCTAATGGGGCCTCCTGCTATCGCCGCGCTGCCAGAGCACGATTTCTGTTCTCATCCTGAAGCAAAGTTCTTAACCCGAGGTACTATTTCTGGGTTAGCGGAGTCTGTAACCTGAAGCATATGTAACCTGAAGCATATGTAACCCAAGGTACCACTGTAATAACAATAAAAGCAACACAGTGCCAGCCCCCTCATTGAAAGCAGTCAGTTGGGAGGAACAAGAAATGGGTGGCACACAGATGTCCTTAGCAGGGGCATCTCAGCAACATGGATATGGTGGAACTAAAGACCTTCCATCTGGATGTGGAATTGGACAAAATGTGTTGGGTCATTTAGGCTGCCATCTTAACCCCTGCTATGTGGGCATCGTGGTCAACACTATGGTCCCTGGCTCAGTATGAGGGGTGCTTCTGAACCTCTCCTTTGAAACCCAAAGGAAAACAGGCAGTAGGGGAAAAGAACATCCCTTCTTTCCTCCCCCAAGGACTTGCTGTTACACTACTGCTTGAGTTAGAGTCACCTTTTGGTTGACCAGACAAGTCCTACAAAAGGGCAGTTTCCTTCCCCACTGGCTTCTCCTTCCTGGCTGATCAACACGTATGGCCTTCTCTGTTGCACTCCCAACAGGAGATGGGAGTAGTAGTTGAGAAGGCACCAGATTGAGGTAGTAGGTCTTATGGAGTTAGCACAACTCATGTCATCTTGGCCCCATTGAGGAAAGAAATGCTAGAGTCCCTTCCCCTCCGCTGCCCCCCGGCCATCTATGCTCTTAAGCAATTTAAATCAGCCTTGGTTCTCCATTTAATAGAGTGCTCCCCTTGCATAAATCTAACGTCTATGCTTGTTGGGGGGTTTATAGAGCTTTTCCATTTTGCTGAAGCAGGTTGACCAAGATGCCCAGTACAGAAAGCCATGTTTAGGAAATAGTATATTAGAGAGAATGCGCTGAGCTGTTTTCAGCAAGCCACAATATTTGCTACAGAGGAGGTGTTTTACATAAAGCGGAAAGGAAACGAGCTGAAAACAAAGACAGAGAGCAAATATAGGAGCAGATTGCCCTTAACCAGGATCACGGAGGATATTATTACAGAACTTAGGTTTGATAGCTAATCAAACAGTTGTGAAAGATCTCCCATTTTTCCAGGCTCAGAGCAAAGACTATGCAAGATTTGTTTCATGACTGGTTTATTTAAACACCTTAAAACCTATTGAGCAAACACAGCTGCCTTCATATCATAGTAATAGGCAAGCATGTCAATGAACCCCTTTGTACTTCAGCTGGAATTTCAGTCAGTAGTCCATACACTTAAAGAAAACCTGTGAAACTGATAAATGACAGGTGACAGATTATTTTCTTTCTTTCTTTCTTTCTTTCTTTCTTTCTTTCTTTCTTTCTTTCTTTCTTTCTTTCGCCGAAATTTGACATCTAGAAATAACACTAACGTTTCTCTTTTGAACTTTTGTTTCAGATTTGACAGTCATGAAACGGATCATATGTGCGATTCTCTTGGGTGCGGGAGTGATGTATGTTATACTACACCGAAACCTGCGAAGGACAAATGACTATTGGTAATTACAGCATCTTCTTAGACTTAGACAAACTACCTGTTAATTTGTCATTGCAGATCTCTCTAAGAATCATTTGGCTGTACCTCTGCAATTGCATGTCTTATTCAGGAGCTGGAAAACATGTTGGTAGGTTAGTTAGCAAATGTGTCTGAGGAAAAACAAAATGACTGCAGAATTACTTATGACATTTACATTATAGGCAAGTGTCCCCCATCCCTGGCCTGAGTGGAACTGAATCTGAAAAGGTAGCACTACCTTATTTTGACTAAGGATGCTTGAGGATTTCACAGTTTAAAGTGATTTTTAATACCCAAACAGGAACACCATGATGCTTTAATATTTACACTTTTCTGAAGTCTTCAGTACAGGAAGACAATATGGTTATACAGTTCCTGAATCATAAATTTACTCTTGAAAGAGGATTTCATTATCTGTGTGAAGATTGGTTCCTACTCCATATTATCTCTGTGAAGTCTGGTTCCTATTTACAGGAGGGCGGTAATTCAACTGTGTTGGTAAATGTAAGATTAGTATGCTGATTAGTATGTACCTCTTAAGGGTCAGGATGGTTGCTGTACCTTCCGGATTGAATTTAAGACAGGAGCTTGTATCAGGGTCACAGATAGTTCATGAATGGTATATTTTATCTGAAACGTATGCCAGTTGCACTGACGCCATGATCCATAGAAATAAACCACGAGAAAAGCACAGACTTATCACCCATTGTTAACCCACTTACTCATCTTTTCTCTGAATTAAAAAGCTGCAACCCTCCTTCTTAGAACTATTCCAAATGTAGTTGCACCATAGATTTGTATAACAGCACTATGATATTGGCAGTGTCCTTTTCAATTTAGCTTGTGTCGTATGGCAATGTGGGTGGGGCATGTCATGTTTCAAAGCCTTCTGCATTCAGCTCTATTAAAGTTCTCTTTTGGGTGCTTTTTATCAGTCATTGAACTTGCAGAATAAGTAGCCCATAAACCAGGGAAGAAGCACATGCAATTCAGCATCACGTGTTGTATAGTTTAAGGCATATGACTCTTGTGCACTGAAAACAGTGCAACCTAGAAAAACTTAATTTGAGACTGAATGCTGTGGCAGGTTTTACAGATTGTCTGTAAATAAAATGGAGTGTGTGTGTGTATAAAATTTTGCTTCAGATGTTCACTACCTCCTATCGGTCTGTTTGTGTATTTTAATATGGTGAATTTGTTGTTGTTGTTCTAGGTTGCCCCCTACAGATGGAGGAGACAGAAAAGGACAAATAATAGGTTGCCCTTACAAACCTGGCGTTTCATCTTTAATAAAGTAAGGGGAAAGGGGGATTACTAATGGTCACCATGTGCTAAATGGGCTTGCAGTCCCCTCTTCCAAAAGCAAGGGTGGGCGACTTCTTTTCTGTTGCTAGTTGCATTCCCTTGATGGTAATCTGTTGATGTCCACATGTTGGTGGTGGGTGGAGCCAGACACAAATATATTTTGGATTTACAAATAAAAACCAGTTTTCAGCGTGGCTACCAAAGGTTAGAATTCGCAGTCCTATGCAGATTCTACTCTTAATACGATACGATAATCTTTATTGTCATTGTCAGAACAACGAAATTGAAAAATCTACGTAAGACATTCAAAAACCAACAAGCCTGCTATCCCAGCTATCCCAACCTGGTTAGCCCCCTAAAAACTCTGATACCCCATTTTTAAATACCATATACTACCATAGAGACTCCTTACACTGAATTTAAAACCAAAATCACATTTGGATAGAAACTGTTTCTCAGGTGGCTCGTCCTAGTCTTTATAACCCTGTACCTTCTTCCAGAAGGCAGAAGCTGAAAGAGATCATTTCCGGGGTGCGCACTATCCTGCACTATCTCTGCAGCTTTCCTATGACACCTGGAAACGTAGATTTGATCCAAGGTGGGAAGAGTAAACCCTATTGAATTTGATGGGGTTACTCTCAAATAAGTATACTGATGAGGTGCTTTTTTTAAAAAAGCATTACAGTCAATACAGTTTTCTGGAAAGCAAGTGAAGACAATTATTTTCTGACTTAGCATGTGTGCTCACATACCTCGCTTATCAGACATTTACCCTAAGCGATGCAGTCAGGAAAAAGAACAACACCCACACCAGTTCATGTTACCCCGCCCCCCCAAAAATACTGGTCCTTCTAGTTGTTCTGCACTAACTACACAGAAAGAAGGCAAAAAGCCGAAGAAAATAAGCAAGGCATGAACAAGAAGGAAGGAATTCTGATGGGATAGAAGAGTGGGGCAGCTTCAGAAGGTACTGAGGGCCGTGTTCAATAAGGTTGTGGTTTGCATGCAGCTCCTAATCCACAGGCTTCCCACCTGAACCCCAAAAGAACAAGTTTGTAGCAGAAGCAGCTCACCAGGTGGGATGGAGCCACTACACTAACTTCTCATCAGGTGGGTTGCTGCTGTTGATCAGGAGGGCAAGGTGAGAGGGAGGTATTTGTGGTGCAAATTACCAGCAAGAGCACTAGATTGGCTCTACCAGTGTGTTTGCTGCACCAGCCTCCCTACTGCCTCGCTCCTCTGCCTCCAGTAAGCAACAGCAGCCTACTCACTGGAGGTTCAGGCTGCCCTTGTGACATAGTGCACCATTTACCAATTTAGGCTGCTGCACTTTCTGTACGACTGTCTGGCCTCAGTTATTCACACCCTGTTATTCTCCAGCTTAAACTACTGCAAGGTGTTATCCAGGGCTACCTTTGAAGGTGGTTTGGGAACTGCAGTTCATCCAAAATACGGCTGTGACTTGAAAAACCAGTGCAGTTCAGCACCAAGTATGTTGCGTCAGTGCAGTATAATCAAACTACTTTACACAAGTCAAGTGTGGGCACAGTCTACCCTAAGTGCAGATTTATGTACAACAAGAGCAGGGACCTCTTTTTCACCAGTGCAGCACTGTTGTTGTTTAGTTGTTTAGTCGTGTCCGACTCTTCGTGACCCCATGGACCAGAGCATGCCAGGCACTCCTATCTTCCACTACCTCCCGCAGTTTGGTCAGACTTATGTTTGTAGCTTCAATTTGTAGCTGCAGTGCAGCACTAGAGCCACAAAAACATGAGGATTAGTACCAAGCAATGCATATCAGGCATTGAGCCTGTATGCCAGGTGCCAGCTGGTTTTTGTCTATAAAAGCAACACTTGCCAGAATGTACATATGAAAATGGTTCACTTCCGTTTTCTGTTCTGCTTTAACAGCCTTCACAAATGACACACTCCCTCCTAAAAGGAGTTTTTTAGGCACTTTAATCCATCTTCCTGTTTCCCTGATCTATTAATTACTGCATTTTATTCAGTCTTTCATATGACATAAAAGTCACTTCTGGAAATCTAGTGGAAGTTTTGCTCTTATTTCAGCGATCATTGGTTCTAGAAAAGTCATTTACTATGGAATAGTAAGGCTTATTGGGCATCCATGACAAATGTTTTCTGAGCACTTAGTCTTAGAGAGGTGATGAAAACCCTTGAATGTATGTCTGAAGGGTGATTCTGGATAGGTGAGAGCAAATCAATGAAGTTTAATTTAGAAAAGATGGGAGTTCTGAGTGTTGAACAGACTGCTGTATGAGTTTTGGATGAAGTTGTATTCCATCTAAAAGAGCCAGGTGCACAGTTTGGAGGTTCTCTTGGATTATGTGCAATCTGGAAACACTGGTGACCTAGTGAGCTAGGAGTGCCTCGGTTTATGCTAGTTCACTAGCCACAGCTCTTTCTGGAGAAACAGATCTTGCCTCAGCTACACATGCTCTGGTTGCATGCAGAGGAAATTATGCAATATGTAGGACCGCCTTTAAAGACAGTTCAGGAACTTTAGCCTGCACAGAATACAACTTTTAAGATACAGTCAAACCTCGGATCCCAAACGCCTCTGTTTTGGGACGTTTTGGCTCCCAAATGCTGAAAACCCAGAAGTAAATGCTCCAGTTTTGGATCGTTTTTTGGAAGCCGAATGTCCAACACGGCTTCTGCTTGGGTGCATGACGTTCCTGCGCCCAATCGGAAGCCATGCCTTGGTTGTCGAACATTTCAGAAGCTGAAGGGGTTCCAGAATGGATTACGTTCGACAACCGAGGTTTGACTGAACTCGTGGGAACCAAGCAACACTGTGCTGTCTACAATGGCTGCCTCTTTGTTTCCAGGCTCAGTTTAAAGTGCTTGTTTTGACCTTTAAAGCACTGAAAGCTTGGGGACCAGGTCTGCACTCCGATGAATCTTCCTAGATCCTACAACCAGGCTCAGAGGCCCTGCTTTCTGAATAATAATAATAATAATAATAATAATAATAATAATAATAGTCATCAAAGCTCATCACCGAAGTGGACATCAAAGACAGGGCCTTTCTTCTGGTTGCCCCACATTTCTGGAAATCTCCCCCTAAATAAGTACACATGACTTTGCCTCTACTTTTACGTAGACCTTTCAAATTTACTTGCTTCATTCAATTTTTTATTGACGTGTTGTATGTGCTGGTTGTTAACTCCTCCCATTTTTATTTGTTTTGGGGTTATTTATAATGCATTAAAATTATTGTCTGTTCTTGTCTGAAATGTTGGTAAGCAGTCTTGGGATGGTTTCTTTTTTGGCACCAAACGTGGCATTATTTTATAAAACAAATGAACTAACATTTTAATATTTCCCCCCTCTTTTTTCCTCTAGGGGGGAAAAATTCTATCCTTTTCTGTGCATTAACGATTTTGTAAAAGTGTCTGGGGACCATGGAAGTCACAGGATCGAACTACCTTATGGAATAAAAGGAGCAGGTAAGCCATTGATATGTGCTGCATTAAATATAAGGTTATGCAAGATTAAATGATGAAAGTGAACCTTTCATTATTTATTAATGGGTGTAAAGTTTTTTTCTGAGGTGTTGCTGTTTAAAGGCAGTATGGTACAACACCAAGCAGATATGGAAAATGTAGAATGTGATTTCCTGCTTCCCCCTCCTCATTCTACTTCATACATGGTATTGCATGCACCCTTCTTTACCTGCTTATATTTGGGGTGGAGAGGAGAAATTGAATGTTTTGGAAGGTCCATGCAATATTTCATTTTAAACATTTGAATTGTGGATGGTGCCTGCAGGGATATGGAATGTGCAGAATGGGCCCAATTTAATTGTTAGGATGCATATCACAGAAACTTTCTGGCACCTTGGGTGGGAGCAGGGAATTATAGGCTGCTTCCATATATTTCCATCAATTAACATGGAATAGAGATAAGCACAAGAAACTTGTATTCTTCCTAATCTTTGTATGACTATTGCCGCTGGGGTTTTAAGTCTCTGCTCCAACAGTGTTCATGAGATTAAAAGGTCATAAACTTATTTAACAAACTCACACTGACCTCTGGCAATTTAATATTTTATTTAAAAATGCACATAACACAATTGCGCTTAATTTTGTTGGTACAATAAAGTGCTGATTCTTAATTAATGATTTTTCTAAAATAATTTGTATTACAGAAAGGTATTTTCATATGGCACTTTCAAGACTACAAAACTGCAGAGTATTCACTGAAGATGATAGGTGAGGTTATTTTTGTGTTGTTGCCAACTGTTGATGAAAAATACAGTCTTTGGATTGATATAATTGCTACCATTTTAGCTGAGATTAAGGCCCATGTAAAAAAAACAAAAAAAACCAGCCGCCCAGGACACACAAGATGGAATTGCTCACTGCATAGCTCAGTTGAGTTCTAAATGCAAATTGGAACTCAAAAGGATTTGCCCTTTTGATTGTTCATTTAAAGAAAAAAAAATCTGGGCAGTTCTTCAATTGTTGACATAACATTCATTCATTCTTTCATTCATTTTAAAAATGTTGTTGGCCATTTTAATTATGATGATGATTTTAATTTATTATCTACCCTTTAGCCTAAGGTCACAGGGCAGGTTACAATCATTTAAAAGAGAAAATTTAAAAAAAATATCCAGTTTAAAAACATGTAATTAGAAAGATACCAAAAAAGGGTCTTGTGAAAAATAGAATGGGTCCTGAAAATATACATTCAATTACCTGCCCTTCACCAGCTGTTCCCATTTTAATTTCCTGGATCCATGTGAATTCTACATGATAACTTCATATTTGAGGGTGGCTTAATTTTTAAATACAGTGGTACCTCAGGTTACATATGCTTCAGGTTACAGACTCTGCTATCCCAGAAATAGTGCTTCAGGTTAAGAACTTTGCTTCAGGATGAGAATAGAAATCGGGCTCCGGCAGCGCGGTGGCAGCAGGAGGCCCCATTAGCTAAAGTGGTGCTTCAGGTTAAGAACAGTTTCAGGTTAAGATCGGGCCTCCGGAACGAATTAAGTACTTAACCTGAGGTACCACTGTATGGATAAGGTAAAACTAAGAACATAATAAGAGCCCTGCTGTACCAGACCAAAGGCCCATCTAGTCCAGGATTCTGTCCTCACAGTGGCTAGCCAGATGCCTGTGGAAAGAGAGTGTTGTTTTCCCAACATGGGGTTCAAACCCACAACCCTGTCATTAAGAGCCTCATGCTCTACCAACTGAGTCATCTTGGTCCATTCGTGTTCGATACTGCACTGTTAGAATCATACACACAGACTCCCATGACTACTAATCTTTCACTCTATTCAATTCATGCCCGTGACAGCAACTCCCTTCTGAAGATTCCTTAGGGCAGCACAGGGGAAACTAACCACTTCCTGATGGCAAACAGAGTCTTTCTCCCCTCCCAGTTCTCTGGAAGCGGCTCTTTTAGGGCTGGAGGGTGAGGCAATGCAGGTGGAAAAAGCCATTACGTGCTGGTCAACACAGAGTCTCTCACCTCTCATATTGTGGTAGCGAATTCCATTGTGCTTTGTGAAGAAGTACTTCTTTTTGTCTGTCCCAGATCTTCCAACATTTAGCTTCATCTCCCAACATTTGGATCACCCTCGTTCTAAAAGGATGAGAAGAGGGAGAAAAGTATGTTAAGTTTAAAACAATGCCAGAGTTTGAAATAACATTTCTGATTTCTCCTGGGGGGTGAAGAGGTTGGTTTGGATAAAGGTGGAAGGTTGTGCAGTGCAAACAACACCACAGAATAGACTTACTGTTGCTGGGGAATGGAGAGGAAGGTGGGAGGGTATTGTGTTGTTTTACTGTAGATTGGTTGCTGTGTGCTGAGCACTGATATTTGGTTTCGGGGAGCTTGTCACATAGCAGTTGCCTTTGCCTGCTCTTTCCACACCAGAAGGTTACATGAACCAGTGTTGTTTGCTTCATAATCTGGCTCATGAGTGCCATGCCCCAATCACAGATAACAAATAAGCTTGTTACATTATATGCATTTATGTCAGCAAGCAAAGTGCCCAGCCAAGATATATTCATGAATTCCTTGTGCACATTGTGCATTCTTGTTCAGGCTCCTGGGTGGGAGGGAAGAAAGAAAGAAAGAGAATGATAAGCAATTAATGCCTCCTTTGAGAATGTCCAGCCTGTTTCATAAGCAGAGGCTTGTGAGGCTAGAAGGACCTCAAGGACAGGACGTACCCACTGCCTGGTGCTGTCTAGGTAGGGGGCTGGAATGGCAATTGAGGTCCTTCAGAAGAAGAATCTATTAACCGCTTGTATGGCCCAGCGGGAGAAGGGGCTTCACTGCAGGTTTATGAAAAAGTTAAGCACACATAGTGGAAGAAGAGCTTTGTGGTGCTCCCATTAGCCCCAGCAAGCACAGCCAATGACCAGGGATGATGAGAATCATAGTCCACAGCATCTGGACAGGACCCTACTGTGAGTCCAAGAGCAATACAAGACCTGGATTCTCTTACTTTTTAAAAAGAGGAAAACCTGAAAAGAAGCTTCAGAAGCTGCAGTCAGGAGCAGAAAACTACCAGGAGGGCTGGCCGGTCCTAAAATCCCCCCTTCTACTTAATTCCTCCAATCATTTGGTTATATTCCCTATTCTTTTTTCCTCAAGTGCTTGGCTAGCCACTTTCATTGTCAAATTGTCTCAGGGTTTAAATGTTTGTGCTAATTATGTTGTGAGGTGGGATAAATTAACCCTCCCCAAGAAAAGCATCTTCTCCACAAAACTTTGATTGATCACAATCTCTTTGTTCCAGCAGCCCATCCTGTAAAAAATGTGTTGTTGTTGGCAATGGAGGGGTGCTTCGAAACAAGAGTCTGGGGGAGACAATTGATTCTTATGATGTGGTAATCAGGTAAATGGATTTTTTTTTTGCATTAATTAATAAGTTTTAGTAAGTATTTCTATTGTTCAGCATCATTTTCCCTATATGAATCTTTTGTTCTTCTGCAAAATAGTGGCTACCATGACTATTCCCTTTTGAATTAAAGGCCACTGTCATCAGTCTTGGGTGCTAGTATTAAAAAAAATAGCCAGCTTCTCTTTTCAATTTTCAATTTTTTGGGTGGGGTGGGGTGGATGGGAGGCAATATTTGAAATTATGCATATAGGAAGGAAGCATAGGGACAAGAAGAGAAATACAGTATATGAGAAGGTGTTGAAGGGTTAATTATTCCTTGACAGCTGCTTTCTCTGTTCCACCAGCAGCAGCCAGCCTGGGCTTTGTAATCTCTCAGAACCCAGTGAGCTTCCTCAATAACTTGCTTCTCATTAAAGAGAATGTACACTTTACTCTTGAACTGTTTGTTCAGCAATAGAAGTGTTTGCTCAAGACTGATTTGCATATTGGCAATGAAAAGTCTAGAGAGGCTATGAGTGATTTCACTAAACCGTCTCTTCTTTATAGATCTCTTCTTCTTTAACTTCCTTATATAGACAGGAGTATTGTTACATTGCCCAACGTGCTCCTGTTAACACTGTGGCAGCCCCGACCCAATTTTTTTTAAAAAATGGTGTTGGGTGGGGGGTTTTTTAATAGTAAAATAAGTGGCCTTATTTTCATCAGTGCTGGCCTAGAAAGAGAAGTGGAGGTTTCCACCCACCCTGCCCTCTTCCCTTCCTTTCCCTAGAATGCCACTGTGCCCAGGTCTGCCCAGAAATGTTCTCCACAGGGACAGAAGAGGGATGGGCAGCTGGAGGCCAATGCTTTGTCTTCTGGTCTTCCTCTAAAATTCTTTGGAAAGGGCCCTGCCTGATAAGTTTGGGGAATGGCGGCCTCTGGTGATTTGACCATTTTTCCCCCATCCTAGTTTTGCCTGTTTTAGGTACAGTGGATGCTCTGGTTGCGAATGTGATCCGTGCGGGAGGCACGTTCGCAACCCGCAATGACGTGTCTGCGCACACGTGGGTTGCAATTCGGTGCTTCTGCGCATGCGCAAAGCGTGATTTAGTGCTTCTGCGCATGCACGAGCGCCAAAACCCGGAAGTAACCCGTTTTGGTACTTCCGGGTTCGGCATGGTGCACAACCCGAAAACACACAACCTGAAGCGTTGGTAACCTGAGGTATGACTGTATGTGGATGTGTGATCTGTTTTGTGTGGGGATGGGCATATGTGTCTTAGCGGCAGGTAGCACAGCAGAAGCAGGAACAGGGCTGGAGCACCAGAGCTACAATCTGCATGCTTCCCCATTCTTATTAAGCCATGGTTTGGCTTGGTGTTAAATGGGAACTGGGCATCTGTGTAGGCATGAAGCTGTATTGCAGAAAAATGGGATTTAGTTTTGTATAACCAATTCTTTTTTTAATGTTCTTCAACAGAATGAATAATGGACCTGTTGTAGGCTATGAAGAAGACGTCGGAAGAAAGACAACATTCCGGCTCTTTTATCCAGAATCTAGTTTTTCAGATCCAATTCACTATGACCCTAACACAACTGCAGTTCTTGTTGTCTTCAAGACCCATGACTTAAAATGGCTTTGGGATCTGCTAAGTGGCCAGCGTTTAATAGTAAGCCAGTTTTATTTTACTTGTTAATCTGTTGGAAATGATGTTGATAATGAAATGTACATGGTTTCTCATCAATAAAATTCCCTTACAAAAATAAAATATAAAGCTCTCATACATTGTTTTTTTAAAAAAATACAAAATGCATTAATTAAAACAACAACAAATTCAAAATATTATATAACTTTTGCTCACAGAGATCAAATAAAACTATAGCTCAGCTTAAAACTCCACTATAAGAGCAGGGATATAAAGGTTTATTTAACACTTAATATAAACAATGAAGGCCTAGGGTTTGTTTTACAACACATGTTTCAAAGGCCTGGGTGATTTAAAAATGTCTTCACCTAGCACTGAAAAGACCATAACAAACATAAGAACAACCTGTTGGATCAAGACAATGTCTCATCTAGGCCCATATGTTTATAGGAAACAAGGAAGCAGGACTCAAAGACAAGAGCTCTCTCTCTTCCCCTTCCAATGGCATAATGCTGGAAGAAAACCTTCATCTATATATGCCTTCAATCTGTGCCCATTGTCTACAATGGCACCATGCTATAGGAGTCTGCCTCTCGTCTTTGAGTTTGGCAGAGTTAAGATGTTCTTGTTCTGTCCTTGTCCAACTGTTTCCTTTCTCAGAAAATACTTGCATTCCTTGTATATTTGTTCCTCCCCCACATGCTCACTTAAAAATGGCAGTGATCAAAATCCTCCTCTGTAATCAAAACATGAGGCCTGACTGTGTGTCAAAATGTAGCGCTTCTTTGAAAATGGAAAGCCCTTTTCCCAACCCCTCCAGTCTCTGGGCAAAGGGATATTACCAGAAACCGTAGATCTGTCTAATAAATAGAATCTACTCTGCATCAAAGTCAGCAGGCAGATGAAGCTACAGGTATTAGCTTTTCATCAAGCTACTAATCAGTATATTCACTGAAGCTCTGATCAGTTCATTCCTCGAAGTGGAAAAAATAAACAAATTGTGTTGCATTTTTTCTTAGGATCTGAAAGGTTGTTGTAATTTATTATATATAGTTTAGCCAGATACATAGCTTTTAAGAAGGTGCCAAAAATATGTGAATTATGTTGTAATAGGAAAGGCTATCTTTCAGTGACTCCTCTTGACCTTGACACCATCTATTCTGAAAAGCTCTGCGGTTCTCCCACAAATTCCCAGCACAATGTTTTAAATTTCTTGCCAGTTCTGTTATACAGTTTTCTTGTTATCTAGCCATGAAAAAGAATTATCATCTTATTGTTTTCACATTTAGGAAATTCGTTATTCAGTCATTTCCCTTTCCCATAAATGTTGCCCCATGACACAGAATGCATTCAGGAACTCAAAGTGACTGAGTATTTACAACTGGGGCGGCTTCTTTCAGGGTGAGGCAGTGTGTGGTTTCTTTCCGTTACCTCTCCCCTCTCAGTGATGTGTGACCTCGTCAAGATAATTTCCCTTCCAGTAATGTGACTTGCCAAGATGTAACAGAGGTACAGTTTTGAAATGCTAAATGCAAGCTCTTTGTTCCATAGAGAACAAATGCCTTCTGGAAAAAACCAGCAACACAAATGATATACAAATCCCACCAAATCAGAATCCTTGATCCCGCCATTACCAGGAAAACAGCCTATGAACTGCTCCACTTGCCTACAAGGTTCTCCAAACACGTGGTAAGTATTATCTCACACCGCTCATTTCAGGAGAACTATTGCTGTCCCTGCCATTCTACATGCGTTGGAGGCTGTATAAACCCTAAGTCACATGGTGAGCCTGTACGAATAGAAGTCAGCATGCTTGTTTTCCTTCCTTCTGTGCTGTATTTCAAAATTTTTTAGAATGACTGATTAGGGCTAATATTAAACCAGATGATGATGCACAAGCGCCTTGAAATATCAGTTGACTTTGGAGTTTCCTGTGAGGAACTCTGTAACACAGCCAATGCCACAGGAAGCCTGTGCTATAGATAGAAGACACATAACCCCACAATAGGGTAATACCTTTATTAGGATCAATTCAGATCTCATAAAGTAGTGAACAAGCATCTGAGTTCTCCAGGATTCCTCCTTTATACTAGATGGCCAAGCAGATCCTTTTGTTCTTTTGTTTAATATCCAGCCAGAAGGTGATTTCTGGAGAAGCTAAAAGCTTGCTTGCTGTTTTGTGAAATTCGAGAGGTTCCTAATATTAGCTGCTCCTGATAATGGTATAATCCTGGGCTGGATCTAGACATATCAAAGCAGTGTTTCAGTTAAACACATTGCAAACTTTGTATGAGAAATCGGATTAGCAAAAACAGAATCCACAGCACCATCTGATGTTTTTTCTTTGCCAGTGTAGCTGAGTCCCTGGTTTGTAAAGTATAGGCTGCGAAGTATTTTGAGTCTGGCTTTTAGTTCTCTGAAGTTTTTAATTTAGGCAAAACATTTCTTTCTCTTTAATAAGTAACCAAACACCAGGGCTGTTTTTTTAGCCAGAACTCGCCAGACCAGAACTCAGTTCTGGCACCTCTCAGATGGGCACCATAGCCATTAAAAAGAGGTGTTCGTGGTGAGTTCCGGCACCTCTTTTTCTAGAAAAATAGCACTGTCAAACACTAATACATCGTGTTCGTGTGATGTGTGTGTTTGTAGATAAAATACTTTTGGTTTTATGCAGCTTGTATTTTTGTGCTTTGTTTTGCTTTTTTAGAAACCCAAGCACCCCACCACGGGGTTAATTGCCATTGCTTTTGCATTTCATATATGCAGTGAAGTTCACCTGGCAGGCTTCAGGTACAACTTTGAGGACCGAAACAGTTCTTTGCACTACTATGGTCATGACACCATGTCTCTGATGATCCAGGTAAAGTGCTACTTCCTTCTTAGCATGCATATTTTGTTTATTCCATTTTATTTTCATTTTGACTGGATTCTCTCAAATAGTGGGTTGGTGCTAGCAGAAAGAGAGGGTGCCTGATTTTCACAGAACCCCTTCCATTTACTTCAGTCCTCTGTACATATTGTTTCAATGCTGCAACCCTGTTGTAGGATATTTGGGTTTCAAGGGGCTGCAATGGGTTGCTCCATCTTGCGTGAGTGGAAATGTTTTCCACTAGCGCAAAGCCACCATTTGCTTTAACCCTGTATTTCTAATCCATGGTTGGGGTCAGTTGGTGCATAAGGCAAAGTGAAACATGGCTTAGCATGGATATGTGGGTTCCTGGAGAGGATATTGGGATCCCTTTGCTCCTCCTCTAGTCCTTCTGCTGCGGACTAAGCCAAGGTTTGGCTCAGCATGTTGTCCAAACCCAAGCATAACAAGCCCCAGCCTTCCTCCCTTAGATCTGCAGAGATGGGCATGAAAGGGAGGTAAGGAGCTTACTTGGCTGAGCAGTTGTTCAGGTTTCCCATTTCCTTGCTCAGAAGCACCTGAAGCACATTAGCTGTGCAGTAGCAAGACTAGCAAGCAAGTTCAGGGAAGTGGCACCATCATTTTTGACTTGGCTACCGAGTCCAGTTAAAAATCAAGGACCCTTGGTTAGAATCCCATTTATTTCGGTGAGATTTAGGGTACATAATGTTCCCCTGATAGGGCCCCAGGATTAAGATACATATACCCCCTTTTCACTTTTTAAAAAAGATTACAAAATTCTGTGTTATTTTTGTTTTGCACAGAATGAATACCATGATATTTCTGCTGAACAAAGGTTTCTGAAGGAACTTGTGGACCGCAGCATTGTGGTCAATCTCACAGAAAAATAAATATGGAAGAATAATCACTATTCACCACAAGACTGATTTGGAGTGGGACGTGGACTTATTTTTTATTTGGATTCTTATTTTTTAATAAGATATCTGCCAAGTTATTTAAGAAGAGGATTGAAGAAGACACGTTGTGCATAACCCCCAAGCGCTGAAAACGCTGAAGGATGCCTCTGCCTTGTTGATACTTGACCAGCAAGCAACCATCAGAGTTAATTGACATGTGTGGATTTATTGAATAATGGAAGAAACGCAACCTTCCGCGAATAGTGTTGGAGATCTATAAAAATGATACAACGTGGAGTTTTCAGTTGCTGGTTTCTTTTTCTACATGTTCTTCTTTCCACGCCCACCCCCAATTTGCTTTGTCCCCATGTGATCACTTAGCACCATCGTAGACTTTCAGAGGTCTAGGTTTTGGAAGTGGGGCATGTACAAAGCCCTCTGTCAAATTTGTGAGTGAAAAAGAGAGGTGTTAAAAGAGAGGTCCATGAATGAATCTTCACCCAGCTCCTGGATGGCAGAAGCGCTTGAAGTCATTTATGCTACTTAATCTAGCTTGGATGGATACAAACATTGGCCTTTCCAAGGAGAATTATGGGTTAAGGCGACACAGGTGTGATAGGGACAGTAAATATAATGGTCCACTCACAGCTCAGTTCCTAATACATAAGTAACATGGAAAGTTTGATTTTGATGGTCTGAGTCTTCTCACTGGTACTGTTAAAAAAGGGTTTGAGAGTAGCTGAGTTTTTAAAATAATTGCGTTATTGCTGAAGCTAAAGCAGTTGCTCTGCTCTAAAACCCCAACATCTTGTAATAGGAAACTTGTGTGTTTCTACATGAATCAATTAAAATGTCTCTGAAATTTTGAAGTGGCTGAATTGGTGGCCATTGGTGAATCTTCTTCTGAACAATTCCAGAACTGAAGATGTTTGTTCCAAACAGTCAGTGGTTTAGAATCCTACATGAAGCCATAAACAATAATTTATGTTGGTAGTGCACGCAGTCTGAAGGCTAAGAAATATTGAGGGCTTTTGTGTTGTTAATGTTTAGATTGGTTGAGCCACTGTGAGACACCCTTTCTGCTTTCTATTACTTGCACTGTTCATTTTTAAAACATAACGCTGAAGTCTCTCCCTAAAAGGGAAAGAACTCTTAATAGCTGAGATGTTCTTTTAAACAATGCACATTGTTGGTGATTTCAGCTTCATAGTTTTAGCCAAAGTCTGCCTGAAAATTTCACAGAGATGTGTGTGAATGAAGAAAACCCAACTTGTAGGTTTTTCCCCTTGATGGGGCTGTCCATTCGCTTAACAGCTTCAAAGCAGGAAGGAAGAAACCCAACAAATTGTGGTCTTCCCTTCATAAGTGCTGCATGTATTCAGCTGCCTGATTCGAGTCCCACCTGTTGATTAGTATGGTAGGGCTGGCAATCAGGCAGCTGCAACTCAGCACTGGGGAGGCGGAGAGCTTCACCTGTCAATTTCTGATCTGTTTTCCAGATCCAGGAGCCTTGCCAAAGGGGTAAAGAGAAACCCAGTTCGCAATGCTTGCAGGTGTTATTGCATAGGCCTCCATTTTCTCTCTTCTTTGCATTGTTCATCCATGAAATGTCTAGGGTTCACAGAAACATTGCAAGATAAAGCATTGCAACACAAACTATTATTATTACTAAGAATGAGTGAATCCTTTTCTTTACGTGGAGGCAAAGTGATAGCCAGTGCTTCATCTCCTTACCTTTTGGCATATTGGGCTGTTGTCAGAGGTGTAAGCACCGTACTGGTGGGAAATATAGAGCTGATTAGCCCTGTACCTTTTTCTAGGAGCAAATCAGTTCAATAAGGTCTGATAATAGAAATTTGGGAACAGGGCCATATTCAGGAAAGCTAAGTGGGTAATAAGTGCCTATGTAATGTGTGTGTGTGTGTGTGTGTGTGTGTGCACTTGCTAAATCTTTCATTGGACCCACTCAATGCCCTTTTGCTCTCAAATGCAAGTGTGCTCTCCCAAATTATCTATACCAAAGATCGCAATGATTCTTCCCAAGGAAGATGATCCTAAGTTTCTGGGTCTATTTGGTTTCAGTTTTAAACCCTCCTCCCACCTGGTTTTCTCATTAATTAGAGCACTTTTCTGAAAGCATTTAAGGTCTCTGCTTGATATTCTTCTATAAAACTAATAATAATTTTGCAATTGCCGTGTTTGTTTAAGATGCTCCCTCACCTCTCATTACCATTGTTTATATACATGCATGGCTTATGATTCTGATTTTGTGCATAAGAACTGGCCTATGTGGCAACGTACTTATATGCCTTGGCATACTGATGACCTTTCTCTGGAAAAAATAATAATTCATACCATTATGTGATTTCTGTATGACTCCTGGCAGCTGGTAGGAAAAAAAGGTACAGAATATGATCTAAATACATATATCTCTGAAACCTCGGTGACTTGTACCTAACACAGTTATTCCCACCCGTAAAAAGTGAAATTTTTAAAATAATAAATGAACAATTGTACTGTATAGCCATTTTGAAAAGGTATAAATGAGCCCATTTATACATTTAAAAGTTGACAGTCATTTAGCACCTTGATAAAACTGCAAGTTGATAGATGACTACTTTGATTTGTCTCTTAAAAAATATATTGTGATGTAAGGTCACAGTTTCCTCTGCCACACCACTCTGTTTTAGTCTGATAACTGTTGTGTGATTTCCCAGGGCTGGCTCCAGGTTTGATAAATGCCCTCCCCTATTGGTGGGCCTTGGCAAGCTGACCAGTCCATGAAAGCAGCCAGTCAGAGAATAGCTGCCATTTTAATTTCTCACAATGTCCTGGAGCAATGATATGCAGGGGGAATGGTGGGATATTTATATGGCAGCTAGGCAGCCAGGTTCAGAGAGCTGAGCTGAGAGGAAAAGAGCCCCCCTCAGAGGCAGGCATCAGTGGTGAACCCTGAGAGGGTCCTGGGATGGGATCCTGGCTGCTGCCCAAGTTGGCCAGGTACAAATGCCTGTCCTGTGGATTGTACAACAGTGCTCGAATGTGATGTTCACTTGTGACCCTGGCATTATTTTCATTCCTACAACAACACTTGAGAAGGCTTCCTTTATCCCCACCCCCACCCTCACCCTTCGTGAATAGTATTTCAACACATACTTTAAGTGATTAAAATGTAGCATTAGTGTGCAGTCTAACAGTACCACATCCCAAACACCATGTTTTGGGTTAACTAATCCCAGTACTTTAAGTACTTTGACTTTTCCAGGTTCTATATCGAGGTCATCGGTTCCATTCTTGAAAGCAGCTTCATTTCTCGCAGTTGGTTTAATAATTTAAGGGAGTACTGGAATATGAGAATGGAAAAAATGATGGCTCATATTTGCACTCTTGAACTCTTCAGTATTTTGATTCTGATATACTATTGTTAGAATTCTTAATATCAAGCAGCAGATGTCACTGTCGCAAGAAATGTATTTTGTAGTGAAAATCAGCTAGTGTTACGTCACTGTAGACCTTAAATGCTTGTCTTTTCTGTCCCGCAAAGCCACCTTAGCTTTCTTACCATTTAAAATGTTGGCATTGTTTTTATACTTTAAGTATGTATGTATGTGTGCGTATGTGTGTAAATTCGTATCTTGATAAATGAAAATATTCATGGCTTTTCAACTTTGTTGTCTGTTGACCCAAATTTTGTGGTCTGTTGTTACTATTTGTTTAAAATGAAACTATCAATGTGAATACAGAGACCTATTTTTGTTATAATAAACATACTGAAATGCCACACATGGATTTGTTGTCCTCTTTTGAAAATTAAGTACATCCAGTTGTGCATCAATATTGCTTAGACAGGCACACATGATGCAAAAAATATGACTGATGGGATGCAGAAAGCATACACACAACTCCACAATTTAATCTGAATCCTATACATGCCTACTGAGAAGTTAGTCCCACTTAGTTCAGTGTGGCTTACTTCCAGGTAAGTGGCTAAGTACAGGTAAGTGCAACCCTAGGGTGCTTTTTCGGGACGCGGGTGGCGCTGTGGGTAAAAGCCTCAGCGCCTAGGGCTTGCTGATCGAAAGGTCGGCGGTTCGAATCCCCGCGGCGGGGTGCGCTCCCATTGCTCGGTCCCAGCGCCTGCCAACCTAGCAGTTCGAAAGCACCCCCGGGTGCAAGTAGATAAATAGGGACCGCTTACTAGCGGGAAGGTAAACGGCGTTTCCGTGTGCGGCTCTGGCTCACCAGAGCAGCGATGTCATGCTGGCCACGTGACCCGGAAGTGTCTCCTGACAGCGCTGGCCCCCGGCCTCTAGAGTGAGATGGGCGCACAACCCTAGAGTCTGTCAAGACTGGCCCGTACGGGCAGGGGTACCTTTACCTTTACCTTTAGGGTCCTTTTTACAAATCACAGAATGGTACAACACATAATTCATCATGACCCACCACACTTTCCCTCCCAAAATCATTATAATTCCCAACAAATGCCATTGTTCTTGCTTTTCATGGAATGACAAGAAATAAATATGCTGAAACATTTCAAAAAGGTATTTAATAAGATCTTTTACAATCAGTACAAAAAAATTAAATACAAATTTATTTGCTATTTTCATCTCTTCCATACCTATAGCCTAGCAACGGGCCCCAAGATACCCCAGTTTAGAAGCTTCCTATCATCTCAGCATTCTATAAAACTTCTCATTTTCATGTCTCCGTTATTGCAGTTTTGTGCTGAAAGATATGCTGCATGAAACTCTGTGTTTAAATAATGGAATGGCTGAGTTATGTTGTATGTGTGATATAAAAATTGAAAATTAATGGCAGTATTTTAAAAATCATCATAATAATGGAAGTGCTAGTTTGAGTCCATACTCGTTGCACGTGAAAGAGGCTTCTTTCAGTTAAACCTGGTTGGGAGGATTCAGCAAACGAGCCCCTTCAGTGGAAGTCAAGTGTAAGGACTTCCGCTTGTGCAACAGGGCTTCTTCCCCCTCATCCCCCGCATCCCCCCACCCTGGACACTGGCTTGGGGTGGTGGTGTCAGGAGAACCCCCAGAGCAGCACACAGCAGGAGAAGAGAGAGGATTGTTCCATCTGGCAAGTTGAAACACTTGGGCAGACGCAACACTCGGACGGGCATGACATTGAATTTCACCCAGAGGCTTCCGCTTACATGAAGAAATGACGTAACCTTGTTTAAACTAATGTAACCAAAGTGATGTGCAGCTTTGAAAAGCATCCTTTTTTCACTGTGACGTTAGCACCGTTGTTGAAGAGAGAGGATACGATCCATCAAAGGGTTAGAGTGCTTAAAGCTCATTGATGCTGCTCCATGCTAGGGGGTTGTATACCTGTTGCAGAAGGTTTCTAGACCCACATCTGTACGAAGAACCTTGGGCCCACGCGGGTGCTGCCCATATGGAGGAAAAGCTCAAGCTGCATCACTGCACTTGGCAAAGTTTACATTTGCCAAATCACGCTGGATGTGGCAGAGAGCCACCCTCCCCCTCTATATAAATACTGCAGTAAGGAAAAGAGGTTGCAGTTAGGAAAATCTTAGGGGGTGCAGACTCCTGCTGTAGACATACCCCAAGGTTCTGGAGGGGTAAACTCTGTTGAGAGGTCTCCAGAGTAGCCCATGGTCTCTTGAAACCCAGTTGTTGGGTTAGGGCCAGCCTTTCACATGCAGTTCTTTCCCTGAACCGCCTGCCCCTTCTCTGCCTCCACACAGTCCTGTTCAGCTGTTTGGTGACAGCACTGATCAGATGTTCATCAGGAAGGAAGCAGGGATGAATTCAAGCCCCCCTTCCTCTTCTTTACCAGAAAGTCAGTCTTCATGGTTGTCACTAATTTGAGCTACCTTTTGCACATGCACACATTTTGCTCAAGGCCAATGGATTTAAGCAGGTCTAACTCTGCTGGATTGCAGCCACAGCATACTGCTGCTTTCACATTCTTAAGAATCTGCAGCCTGCATGTTCTCAGGGGCAAGCGTTTGCAATGAGGAACGAAGCACACATTCAAAGGATTGGGAAGCGGTCAATAGCCACGTGACGTGACCTCCATGCAAAGAGGCCCTTTCAGGAGACAACTGACAAAACAGAAGCTGCTGTGCTACCCTGAACCATTGCTAGCTAGCTTATCCACCATTTATTAAGTGAAGATAGAAGTGGACCAATGAAGAGGCAACTTCAGTTCTCAGCTTATCCCAAAGAAAACTATTGAGTCCCAAACAAAGAGGCAAACAAGGTGGAGGTGGGGGTGTAATTCAGCCAAATTTAAGTTCGTTAATGTTGCTTTTGATTTCACTAGGTGCAGGAGTGGCCAAACTAAACACTACATGGAGTTCCATGTAACTTCCTCCTTAATGAAGCAGTAGAGGTTGCAATCCAGAACTGGAAAACCAGTAGGGAGAGAGTGGAATCACTGTAAACTCTTTCCCCTCTGAAGATAACTCCACTGAAAATCGTTCCCATGCAGCTTTTCCTATGGAGAAAAGGTGGTTGGGAAAGGGGGCTGCTTTTAGCTGGAAAACTGTCAAGAGAGGAGAAAGTTAAAAAGCTGCTCTCCTCCCTCCTACAGGAGTCTTTTATTTTTGCAGCCTCTTTGGCTGCAGTGTGTGTGTGTGTGTGTGTGTGTGTGTGTGTGTGTAAACTGCAGATGGGTGGGTGGGAATATGTGATTCTGTGTCAAATGTGCTTTGGTGCTAAGCATGTACAGTATGTAGCTTTCACCGAATGAAATCAAAGCAACCTAGAAGTGCTCAACTCTCGCTCCATCCATTGGTGCTTGTTTGAGATATATCTTTCAGCACCCATGACTCAGGTGTCACAACCTTGCCTTTGTTACATGTTCACTATTCCATATACCTATTTCCAGAGGTCTGTTGGCTGATCTGTGAGGCAGCAGGGATTATCTAGCAACCACAAACCTGTTCTGTCCTCACCTTCACTTGTTTTCACATAACAGATACATTCACCTGGACTGAAAGTTTTATCTAAAAAGTCATTGTTTTCCAGTACTTATAGATCTAGATAAATGCCTTTGAAAGTACCCCAGTTGCTGGTGAAATGACCCACTGCTCACTGGAAAAAAGAACTGGGAAAGTTTTCCTTGGATTTCTGAGGACTTGGGGTCATTTCCTTGCTTAGCTAACACCAAAAGCAATTATTTTCTGTCATTCTTTGCAGGTACGAGTTGGAAGAGTCCTGCACAGCAAGAAAAGACTATGGGAAGGAGAAGCTTAATTTACATTGCAGGATTCTACACCTTACTCTAGTTCACATCCGCATCGTACATTTTAAACACTCTTATACTGGTGCAACTAGTACATTGCTGAGGGACTTCAACTTATTGCTCCACTGAATTCCTTCCTTGATGTGGATGTGACCAGCACTACTGTTGCTGTACAGTACTCTAAAATCAGCACCACTGTTTCTTTTTCTTTCCCAAATCCTCCTTTAGCTGAATGTTTCAGGTAAGCAAACAGTAAAAGCACATCACATGAGCACCTGATGTGAACCCCGACATAGGCATTATCCAAGGCAAATGTTGAACATGTTCAGTGTACAGCAGCAAACAGATCCCCACTGGGTTTGCCACCACTTTTCTCTATAACAAGCTGTAAATAATGTTTGAAGTTGTAATTTTATTTGAATGATTGTACATGTTGGTCCAAAAAAAAATTAAAACAAAATAAAAGTCATTAAATGCACCTTTCAATGGTATAGATTTGGAGAACGGGCAGGGGGGAGTTTTTGTTCTGTCCGAGTGTTTTGGTTTACATGGGATACAATAAATATCCTGAAAAAGATGAATGGACATATTGCCCAGCATAGAGTCCTGCTGCTTGTTCGGATGGCATCTGGATATAAACTCTGTCACCTAGCGTCAGCTGAACGACGGCACTCCCAGAAGCTTGGTCCAGGAAGCCTTTCTTGTACTCATCGTACGTGTACATCAGGGGCTCGTTGTTCTTGAACAAAGCCACCCAAACATTCCCCCCTTTACAGTGAACGTGGTAGGCAAAGTAGTAAATCCCTGGGATCTCGCAGGTGAAGATGCCAGTCTGTGGGTTATAGTTCTGCCTGCCATTGTAGAGGAGCTTGTCAAACACCACAGGAACTCCAACCCGTGGGAAAGGTGTGGTGAGCTCAGCTGTGAATGCGGGCATCTCGTAGGAAGTGGCTCCGTTTTTGATTTTCTTGTAGCCATATGGCGTCTTTGCTCCATCAAGGCCTGGACCCACCTCAGGCAAATATTGTCCCATAGCTGGCGGTGTGGGCTGTATTATGACTGGAGGGCCTGGTGGGCCAGGAGGCCCTGGAGGTCCCTGGAGGCCTGGCTGGCCAGGAGCACCAATGGACCCAGGCTTCCCAGGTGGGCCCTGCATCCCCGCAATTCCAGGTTTCCCTGCTCCTGGAAATCCTGGCTGGCCTGGTAGGCCTCGTTCACCCTTCACCCCGGGAAGCCCGGGAGGCCCAATTGGGCCACTGGGTCCTGCGATGCCTGGGATTCCAGAAGGGCCTTGGAGGCCTTGAGCCCCTGGGATCCCAGGCTCTCCTTTGGGACCCATGGGCCCATGAGTACCAGGCAGACCTGGCAAGCCTTTGTGACCAGCTTCCCCTTTGGGTCCGATTGGGCCAGGTAAGCCTCTTAGGCCTGGAGACCCCACTTCTCCTGGGAAACCAGGCTTCCCTGGGAAACCCTGTAAACCAACTTCACCTTTTGGACCAATTGGTCCTTGAGGGCCAACAGCTCCAGCTTCTCCTTTAGGCCCTTGAAACCCCATAGCACCTGAGGGCCCCATTAGCCCTGGCAATCCTGGTTGGCCTGGTTCCCCTGGTGGCCCACCCATACCAGGTGGGCCCATGTGTCCCTTTTCACCCTTAGGCCCAAGTGGTCCTGGAATACCGCCCATGCCACGCTCACCTTTAGGCCCAGGGAAACCTGGCTTCCCAATCCCCGGCATGCCAGGAGGTCCAGGTAAGCCTGGCAAGCCTTGCTCACCTTTCCCACCTGGAAACCCTGGCTGCCCTGGAATGCCATCTTGGCCTGGTTTCCCCACACCTGGAAGGCCAGGAGGACCTTGAATTCCAGGAGCCCCACCTAACCCCCGAGGCCCTGGCTCTCCGGGAAGCCCTGGTTTGCCTGCAGGTCCCTGTGGGCCTGGGAAACCAACCATCCCTGGCTTGCCTACCCCTGGAAGCCCAACAGGACCTGGAGGTCCAGGTAAACCAGGTGGACCTTTTAGCCCTGGCAATCCTGGAATCCCAACACCTTTATCTCCTTTTGGGCCTGGGGGGCCTTGCATTCCAGGTTGCCCTTTCATCCCTGGCTCGCCCTTTCCTCCTGGCTGTCCTGGCAATCCTCTGTCACCTGGCTTTCCTATTCCAGGGAGTCCATGAGGTCCTGGTTGCCCTTGGGGCCCTGGAATGCCCATAGGTCCAATCTCTCCCTTTGGCCCCATCTCTCCTCTTGATCCCGGAGCCCCCATCGCTCCTGGTTTTCCTGGCATTCCGGGCATGCCTGGTTTGCCGATCCCTGGATATCCTTGTGGACCTGGTTTTCCTTTGGCTCCCGGCACTCCGTGTCCTGGTATCCCTGGTGGTCCAGGTGGGCCTCTTGGTCCAGGCTCCCCAGGAGGACCCTGCTCACCTCTCAGACTGGCTAATGGAAGTTCTGCTGTACAAGAGAGAAAGAGGGAGCGGCAATTAACCATTATGTCAGTTGACTGGCCAATCATCTGAGTACTTCAAGGGGAATTAATATAGTAAGCTTTCGCCTGGATTTGGATTTGATATCCCACTTTATCACTACCCGAAGGAGTCTCAAAGCGGCTAACATTCTCCTTTCCCTTCCTCCCCCACAACAAACACTCTGTGAGGTGAGTGGGGCTGAGAGACTTCAGAGAAGTGTGACTAGCCCAAGGTCACCCAGCAGCTGCATGTGGAGGAGCAGGGAAGCGAAACCGGTTCACCAGATTACGAGTCTACCGCTCTTAACCACTACACCACACTGGCTCTCAGATTTGCTGCTAATGCAGTTGATACCACAACTGAGGTGGCTTGATAACCACAGACTAAAAACAGCATTGCCATTTTAACAGTTAAAAACCATGTTGCATATTTTAAATGGCTATCTCCACCATTTTCAGTGGCACAGTGTTATTCTCTGAATGCATTCCAAATAGAAGACTCCTGCTTTCCGATGTACATGCCATAGCTCCCTTCCTATACCATGATTCAAGTAAGAGATCTATCTCTTAAGCTAAGGGTGTGTAATGAATTTGGAAATTCTGAATATTTGGGGAATAGGTATGAAACTTCATCAAAATGCAGAAATACATGCCTTAGGTCACTTGGAAATATTTATAGACATAGTATTAAAAAAACCTTTTCGGCATGCCATGCTGAAACCCCGCAGAGCTCTCTCCGGAAACAACTCTTTATGTTCACTTACTATTATACAAACAAATATACATATTTTCTGTTAGATGACAGAGGGATGGTTAAGAACAGAAATAGGAAAGAGCAGAAAGAGGGACAGCTCACGTCTTGCCAATGTTACCTTTTCCTTTCTTTGAAATCCCCTTCTTGCCAAGCATGGGTATCTGTGGGATTTCTTTGATGTACTGAGGCACATATTCTTTCCCATAGGGTAAGTGTGGCCCCTCCTTGGCCATGTGCTGCATTGGAACACCATCTTTGCCCAGTGGCATGTGAGGTACTTGTTGCCCCAGGGGCTGGTACTGGGGCACTTGGGGAGGCATCTGCTTGATCCCATAATAAGCACCTGCTTGGGTGGGTCTCAGTAGCCCAAGGTAAAGGGATGCAACCGCCGTCAAAAGCCACGTAGGTGCTAGCCACAAAGCCATAACCTGCAACAAAACAGAACAGAACAGCAGTTGCAAGGGAGTGGGAAATGGCAAAGACAACTGTATGGCAGGGATGGAACCAGAGGCATTGAGAAGAAGAAGGAGGTTTGTGGTGGCTGCAGTTATCTTAACCTCAGTGCTTTTCTTTATAGTACTGGGTGAAGCAGCTATAGCTGTAGCCACCATCGTATTCCCAGTGGCACATCGTATTCTTCCCATGGCACTACATGGTAACAACATTTCAAACCTTTTTTATTAAAAGGAAGGAAAAAAGGAAGCTGAAATCAGTCACACCTAGAGTCCATGGGTCCCAGCCGCCAAGGCTATCTAGGCTGGTTCCACACCTTCTCCTCCATCATTCGGTCAGCAGGAGAAGATGCCTGGAAGATCAGCTTGGAGGACTTGAACTTTCAATATTGTTGAATTATTTGGTTCCTAGCTATTTGTGTGTGTGTATTTTCACGAACCCAGTTGCTAGTTTTTTTTATTGCTCATGTGCAGATCTACTGGCAGAGGGGACAAACTCCATCCTATTTCTTGAGATGTAACTCTTTCAAGTGAGCAATCTGGGACAGGTTTCTTTGACCCTTCAAATAATGCTGTTCTTCCTTTGTCAAATAATGTAACCTTCCTGCTCTTCTGATACATAACATTGTTAAACCGTGGGATTTGCTACCGTGGTGCAGTGATGGCTACCAATATAGGCAGATTAAAAGAGACAAATTCATAGAGGATAAGGCTGTCAACTGCTAGTCAAGATGGCTATACAGTGGTACCTCAGGTTAAGAACATAATTTGTTCCGGAGGTCTGTTCTTAACCTGTAAATGTTCTTAACCTGAGGTACCACTTTAGCTAATGTGGCCTCCTGCTGCCGCTGCGCCACCGCCGTGTGATTTCTGTTCTCATCCTAGAGCAAAGTTCTTAACCCAAGGTATTATTTCTGGGTTAGCGGCGTCTGTAACTTGAAGCGTCTGTAACCCGAGGTACCACTGTATTCAGAATCAGAGGCAGCATGCCTCTGAATACATCTTGATGGAGAACAGCAGCAGCAAGGGGTCATTTTCCCTCATGCGCTGCTTGTAGGCTTCCCAGAAGCGTCTAGTTGGCTGCCATACTTATGGAAAACAGGATGCTGGATTTGATGCACTTTTGGTTGAATGCAGCAAGGCTCTTCACAAGTTCCCTGAGAGAAAGAGCTAGAAGAAGCTAAGATTTGGCCTAATAGAACTAAACAGAAAAAAGAGGGTGGAAACCATGAAGCAGTATTTGTAAGTGCACACTAGAGGGGGTGTTTGCTGTACAATTCTATACAATCCCCACTCTTTTGAAAATCCAGATTTTTTTGTTTGCATCATAATTAAATGTGAAACAGTCATTTCACGTTGCATTTATATGAAATTCCTAGGGGGGGAAATATTTGAAGAGAGGTTGAGAGTCGGTAGCGCTCCACAGTAATAATGGATAAAATCAAACATTTGCAGTCAAGTACGGCTAAGTCTGCTATGTTCAGCATGGCTAGATTTGCTATGAAAGCGATCCAACTTAGAATAGTTTATGAGGACAAATGCTTGGATCAAGGGCTCTTACCTCAAGGATACTTCTTTGTCACTAGAGGCCCAAGTGTCCTCTGTAGCTAGGAATGCATTCTACCAGCTGTATCTGGCTTGTTAGCTATGAAACCTCCTGGAGAGGGATCGCTTGACCACTGCATTGGTAACCTCGAGGCTCAATTACGGTACTATGCAGGGCTGCCCTTGGACCTGGTTAGGAAGCGCTAACTGGTGCAGAATTGCACAGCTGTGGCTGTGGGGCAGGGCATAGTTGTGCAACGACACAGACTTGAAAAAGATAGTTTCACCTTAAACAATGTCTATTCTTTTGGGAAAACGCCCACAAAATGGGTAGAAAGTTAAAGCCTCAGGCATTTACAAACATTCTTTACACATTTTTTAAAACTAAGTAGTGAAAGTTAAGAACAAATGTCCCAATACTTGGGAGAGGGGGCCACGCACAGTATTAACATATTTGAGTAATGCATAACGTGCCGGTTCATAATTACACACAGCTTCCATTCTTTGCTTTCTATATTCAGTCGATGTGGATTTAAAAGTCAGCTAATTTAAGACCTGACTTATCAGGCAAAAACGACCAGGAATGCGTGGAATATCACACTCAACAAAGCCCTCAGTATGACACTCTCATCATTTGCATATGTAGATATAATTCCAATGCAACCATTTGATAAGCAAAACTCTATTTTGTTTGGTTTTTTGGGTTTTTTTATTAAAAACATTTATTCTGCTATCAAGCAGAAAAGTAATAGTTACAGTTTTATCACATTGGCAGATTCACGGAATTTTCACACTTCAGAAAGAATTGCCTGTATATATATAATTTTCATAATTAAGCCTCACAAACATGGCCAGGGAAGAGGATTATATGTGTGGTTTAAATATTTTAGTGCTGAACGTGTGGGTTCTGATTTTTAAAACAGCTTATCTTCATGAAAGAAAATCTGTTATGTGATACACAATTCAGTTAGGGTCTTCCTCAGCTTGAGCCTGTGTATGCCATTTACAATACAAAAAGAGTTAAAGCTGTATTTAGAATATTGCAATACAGGTGTAAGCTCTGTCTTGTCCTTCCCAACCCAAGTCATCCCACCAATTCACCCCTGCAAGTGGATGTGCCCCTGATACAAGGGTTACGAGACAATCGTGAGTCTCCTCCTTGTTCTAATGGACTACAGTCACTACACAAATCAGCTCTAGGAAAGCATATCTCATCATGGAGGAGATGAACTGACAAAAATATGGTTTGGGGAAAATTTCTCAGCATGATCCAAGAAGCTCCTTTTGCCCCTAAATCAGTAGACAAATAGCTCCACTGAAGACAACTGGAATGAACTTGCATGTTTTATTTCTAGGCTTAGCATCTCACTAGCAGAGAAAAGAGGAGGAATAATGAAAATCTTGGGTTCTTTGTGGCCTAAAAAGGACACACCTTAAAAGTATGGAGCAATTCTACTCTACATGATTCAGTATCGCTTTATATTTACATTTGATTGAATAAGTCAAAGCAAATTAGTAGCACATTTTAGGACCCTGAAACTCCCTCGATCATTTCACTAAACAGCAATGAAATCTTTAAATAAAGGAGTTCAAAAGTAAGCACACCTTTTCAACATTTTAAAACAGAAGATGCACTTCAAACAAAAAGGCTTATCTGAGAACAATTCTTGCCCAGTTTTATTTATTTAAATTGATACCCCGCCCTTCATCCCAGAGGAGCTCAGGGGGGCAATGTAAACCTCTTTTGCATTTCCCTTGTTTGATGACTCAGCAATCCTAAAGCTAGTAAATGCAGGTTCTAGTCCACACACTGCAGCACTACTTTTTAAACTGAATAGCATATCGCCAGAGAGCTGGGAACAAGATTGTGTACAATCACCTGAATTATTGTTGCTCATTTATTCATTTAAATGCAGATATGCAAAATTATCCATTCTGCTCTACATTTAAAAGGGTTTTTTTGCCCCCTTTTTTGTTCTTGTTAATCTGGTTTGAATCAGGCTGTTCAGTTTAATATATTGCAAAGTGCTGACAAAGCCGACTTGCAAAAGCAGGATGTAAATTAATGGTTCCACCAATGTTTCAAGTATCTAAACAATCCCATTAAAATATCTTGACATTTGAAAGGATAATTGACTGTTGAAATGGGAGCGTTTTCAGCTTCAAAGCATGCCCCTAATACCTTTAGCTTTTGTGAGATGGTCCTAAAAGCTTACACTTCATTTTCCCTTTTGCATGAACCGCTTATAACCATCGTCCCCACGGGATGTCTTTTCTTCTTGCTATTTCGATTTCCTTAAGGGGATTTTGTCAATTTCGCTGTGCTTTCGAAAGCAGGGAAGTGATATTGGCAACAAAGCTCTTTTATTCATTTTTAGGAAGCATGAGGAACAGCACAGCAGATCTGCAAAGGTGAAAGCAGGCTACCTCGAAATAGGAAAAGACCCCCAAGTAGGCTCTACAACATTGCCATGATAGAGTGTGTAGCATTTGTAAAAGAAAATGCATTTATTGTTGTTCTAGATTTTAAAAATGCAATTTAAATATTACCTCAATGAAAGCATCAGATAGAGTAAATATAATAAATATAAATACACACAGAGAGAGGTTGAGAGAGAATATCTCAATTCGTCCAGCTATAGCTTGTTGTAAACATTTCACCTGTTGGATGTATGACTATAGACCCTGGAGAAGCGACCGCCACCACCGCTCCAAGGACATATGACTAGAAGCTGCTATTGGCAGAAGACAACTGGTATATCACACTGATCCTGGCCTGACTGCACTGACTGCCATAGTTTACCAGGGTTCAAGTCAAAGTGCTGGTTTTGACCTATTAAGCCTTAAACGGCTCAAGACTCAATACCTCAAGGACTGACTCTCCCCACATGAACTGACCCAGACCCTGTGATTAGGGTGTTTTTGGTGGGGGGTATTTTTGGAGGGGGGGAGGCAAAATTGTTGCGCTTCTTAGGGGAACATATCCTTGAAATAAACAAGTCTTTGGGCTTTTATTTTAATTTAAAAGCATTTTTCTTCAAAAATCACCCTAGTTGCCATACATCCGGGTTTTCCTGGACATTTTGCAGATTCAGCGAAAATCCGCCCGGACGTCATTTTGACAGTTCGATTCCTGGACTTTTCCGGGGGGGAAACAGATGTATGGCAGCCCTCCCTGCCTGTGTTCATAATCTGAGGCCCTTCTTTGCTTGCCTCCTCCATGAGAGGAATGGAGTGTGGCAACATGAGAATAGGCCTTTTCTATGGTGGCTCCCAGTTTGTGGAATGCTTTCCTCAGGGGGCTCACGTGGCGCCTCGGTTACATAGCTTTAAGTGCCAGGCAAAAACATTCCTCTTCAACCAGGCTTTGGGTTGATTAAACAATTTATAGCCTTTCAAACTGTGGCAGGTGTTGGTATTATTTTTGTTTG